GCGCCCTCCAGCCCCGCTCCTCCGCCGGCCCGCGCGGGTCCCGGCGGGCTCCAGCCCACCATGCAGCTGCAGTTCCGGAGCTGGATGCTGGCCGCGCTCACGCTGCTGGTGGTCTTCCTCATCTTCGCAGACATCTCCGAGATCGAAGAAGAAATCGGGTAAATAGCTGCGCCCGGGCTCCGGCCACGAACCCTGCCGGGATCCCCCTTTGCACCCGTGCTCTGCCCCCCCACGCTCGCTTTGTGTGCACCGCGCCCCCCTGGCTCTTGGTGGAGAGGAGGGGGACGGTTTGGACTGGCGGTGGCGATGCCAGGGACCCGGGACGGTTTGGGGGAGGTGGTGGAGGCGCGGCTGCCGTGGGTGTTCCTGGGCGGGGTGCTCGGCAGCCCCCAGCCGCCCCACGCCGGGGAGCGGACTCGCCCACCCGATCCCCTTCTCCGGGGGTCGGAGTACAGTGTGGCCGGGGTCGAGGGAGGGCGCCGGGGAGTGTCTCAGGCGGGCGGAGGGGCCGAGCGTGGAGGGAAGCAGGAGTTTCTTTGTCTCCTGCTCGGCCGCTTTCTCGCCTTGGCAAAGTGGGCAGGGGGAGCGCGGGGATCTCTGAGCGGGGGGAGGGGATCCCCGAGCCGAAGCACAGGACTAGGGCTGTGCGCGAGCTCCCGGGAAGGGTAATGCCCCCGTACACGGGCACACGACATACACGCCTCCCGCCTGCCCGTGCTCGGGTATGGGGACCGGCTCCGCGGGAGGCGGGGCGCGCCGCGCCGGAGGGAGACCCAGCCTGCCCCCGGGCCGGACGCGGCCAACCCTCAACGGCCGGGGCGATCCCGGGTTGCCGCGCGCTCGCTGCGCAGAGACGGAGACGTTTCGGGAAAGTCTGTGCCCCCGCCCAGTGGGCTCGGGCCCTCCGGAGCGCGATAGCCCCCCCAGGTTCTCCGGATCTCTCCAGAGGCTGGGCGGGACCGCGACCTCCAGTTCCTCCGGCTCCGGACTTCCCCGGGTTCGCACTTGCAGCGCGGGACGCACCCCTCCGCCCAGAGTCCCCGAGGCTGATCTCTTGCCCCACCCCACTGCCTCAAATGCGGAGCCCAGTCCCTCTTTGGAACCTCCGGAGGCGGTGGACGGGTGCGGGGAGACAGGGAGGGTTCTGGGGAGGCCTGACAAGCCGAAGGTGCTTTCTCAGAAGCTTCCCAGAGGTCCCTTCCCCTGTGGGATCAGCGCGGAGCCGAACGCCTTGTGTGTGTCCCGAGCCTAGCGCGCCCCTCCTTTGTCCCCTTGCCATTTCATTCATCACCAGTGCGCACTGAGGACCCGCCACTCTGTTAAGCCCCTGGAAAAGGAGAAGCCGTCCTGAGCCCAGGATGCCCAGGACCTAAGGACCGTGACCTGGGGGCAGGCGCCACTTTCTGCTCTCTCCTGTTCCCCCTGCCCTTGCCCACCTCTGCCACCCCACAATTCCTTCGGTGGCCTCTGTTGTGCCTCTGGAATCCCACTCTCGGCCGCTTACTCCTCCATGTCCTCGGTTTCCCCAAAAGCTCGGAAAACTTTCAGAAATGTGGTAGACTTAATATGCAAAGTGCCACGGCTCCCATGCAGAGCCAGAGAAACAGGCTACTTTTCTCTGCTCCTCGCCTGGGACTCCTGGGTCAGAGAGGAGAGGAGAAGGCAAGCCCCAGCGGACAGGGACGCTGCGCGGAGGCCTTCCCCAGAGGTGCGCTGGACAGGTCCACATCATTTGCTGACCTTTGAGGATGCTTGGGGGAGGGACCAACAGCTGCCGATTGTTCTGCCATAAAAATGCAAGCAATGCTTTCGTACAGGTATCCCTAGCTCCTCCGTTCCCTGAACTTTTGCTAAATGCCAGGAACTTTGAATTTTTGAAGTGCAATCAGGAGATCATTTGGCATGTATTGCATTTTCCTACCACATGCTTTTGAAGCCTCCACTCCCCACATCAAGCTGTTCCACTTGGGCCCCAGAGATGCGAGAGGGGTTCCTATTCTTTTTACACTGCCTCTGCCTGGGCTGATCCTAGACCAAGCAGGGGAGCTTTGGCATCTGCCTTCCCTCTGCCTCTGGTCTTCAGGCTGACCCTGGAGTTGACCTGTCACCACCCAGACCTGGGAACACCACCTTCTGTCAGGGTGATCTTGGGCCGGTACCCTAAATGCCATGGGATAGATCAAGACCAACTCTCCAGTCCCACCCAAAGTGAGCCCCACTTCTCTTTCACCCAGAGGAAAGGAAATGTACCTAGGATTTGCCATGGCTGGGGGAGGAAAGATGTGGGGCAGAGGATGAGAACCCCACAGGCACCTTCTAGCTACTTACAAATAAGGTTTTAACATGTAGTCACTCACTTAATCCCTGCCAGCACCCCAACCTTGAGTAGCCAGGCCTGCATCTGTAAGTTCCCTGGCACAGAGGCCAGCGAGGGGTGGCAAGAGAGCTCTGTTGTCCTCCCTGTCTGTCTACCCTGGTGCCCTCACACCTGCCCTGCCCACTGTTCTCCATCCTGCTCCAACCTGGAGCTAGGCAGGATCCCAGATTCCCTGCCAGCATCAGCCCTGGGAGAGGACAGTGCTTCTGTAAAAGGCTGGCTATTTCCAGGAGACCACAGACAGAGGGACCCTGTGACCTGTTAGGCAGGAAGGAAGGGTGGAGGGACCACTTTGGGGGTAAATGGTGGAAGGACGAGGAAATGGGAAGCTGAAGTAGAAAGCAAATCACACATGTATTGTCTGCAGGAATAAAACTGAGGTCCACTTTTCTGAAGCCCTCGATTCCCTTTCTTAGAAAATGAGGCTTTTGTTGTGGTGGCCTCCGAGGTCCTGTCCTGCCCAAGGAATCAGATGCTGCGTGGTGAACGCCAGACTTTTCTTGAGGGTTTTGCTTGAGACACATCTCTTTTCCTAAGCTATTTTATTTTCAGAGTTCCGTTTCTGACTCTCTTGCTCCCATGCAGCTCAGGCTGAGTGAGGAAAGGAAATATAGGAAGACAGATTCTCTGTGGGACACCCAGAGAGTCCTGCCTGGCAGCCAAGGAGCACATGGAAATCTAAATCAGAAACTGGAAGGGGCTTTGTTTGAACTCCATGCTCAACTCATGCAGCCGCCCAAGTTTTAAAACCTGTTGGTCCCAGGTGTAAGCAGAACTCTTCTGGTTGTCCCTTGAGCTTTAGTCTGGAGTGTAACCTCCATGAGGCAGGTGTCTGGCATGCTTACTGCATCCCCAGAATGGACACACAGAATGGATTCAGTAAATGTCTATTGGGCTGGTCATGATGCCGCATGCCTGGAATCCCAGCTCCTCAGCAGGCTGAGACAGGAAGGACGCAAGTTCAAAGCCCCCCTGGGCAACTTAGTGAGAGACCTGTCTCAAAATAAAGAAACTTTGTAAAAGGTTGAAGATATAGCTCAGGGCTCTCTGGGTTCAATTCCCAGTACTTGAAAAAACAAAATTGTATGTGTGCTAGATGAATATCCTTCCCAAGTCTGACACTGGTCATACATTTTGTCTTTAGAAAAGACTAAGACTCATAAACTCTTAGGACAGGAAGGGTTCCAGAATCTGCCCTCCTGTTATCAATTTGGGTTAATTTACTCTGAGACATAACATCACTTATCCAGGATCACGCCCTGGCTGGTTATAAGTGGGACAGGTTGTGCAGGTCTTCTCTTTTGTAACCCAATGCCCTTGTGCCCAAATGAACTATTGTCATCAAGAAAGGGCTACAGAGCTCTAGTTAAAGAAGAAATAAGCAGCCAGTGATAATAATAGCAGTCGTGACAATGATGAAGATGTCAGTGATGGTGAGCATGAACTGAGTGCCTGCCGGGAGCCAAGCACTACCTCAGGTTCTTCAGAGATATTACAGAGATGTTCCTCCTCGTGGCCACATACCAGGCCTGCCAAGAACTACTGTGTGTTGAGCCCCTGTGCCAGGCACTGTGATAATTACTCATAGCGTCCTTCAGTGAATCCTCACCAACCCCTCTAAGCTGGTAGTGTTGCTATCCCCAGTTTATTGATAAGGAAACTGAGAACTAAAGAGGTTATGTGACCTGCAAGTGCTTAACCTCAGCCTACGGAGGCCAAAGCCCATTCTCCTGACAATGAAAAAGGAATTAAGCAGCCCAGGAAGGAAATGATTCAGAGGAGCTGTCAAGCTAGCAGGATGGTCGAGAGCTTATATCTCCCAGTTACTTAGAATGAGAAAAACTGAATGAAGTGGAGTGAAGAGAGACTCAGGACTCATCCCCCCAAGGTATCCCTCTAGTCCCGCCAAGTTCGGTGCCATGCTAATGCTAGCCTGCTATGAGTATGAGCATCCCAGGCTCACAGGTGGAGCACTGGCCTAAATCTTCTGGAGGAGAAGCTCCCATCACATTGCAAGGCTGATTCTCAGGTCAGTTGTATGGACCTTCCTCCCCACTATACCCTGTGCAGTTGGGCATTCAGGCTCCCAACCGTACAGCTGTCTAACAGCTGGTCCCTTTCTGGCACCAGTCTGTTGGAGCGGACCTCTGACCAGTCAGAATCCATGGCCAGGACCCTGCCAAGCATGAAGCCTTGTCTGGGAAAGTGAGAAGCAGAAAGGGACTAGCTCCTACATCAGCCACCCCCGGATCGGTGAGCAGGCAGCAGCTACTGCCACCAGTTGAGAGGGAGGCAAGGTGGATAAGAAAGAAGGTGGCCTTGACCAGTGGCAGTCTGGGCACCTTGTAGGGAGAATATATGTTCGCTCAAAGTGATGCAAGTTTTTTATTGGGGAAAAAGTTCATTTTTCTCCCTCATCTTGGTATATGTCACTCAAGTATAAACACGACCAGAGGATAAAAAAGAGGAGGTCTGGTTTTAACTCAGTTGCTCCAAGTCGCTGTTGCCAACTGTTCCTAGCATCGAATTTAAATTGTAAATAGATTTCCATCCTAGAAACCAATTCAGCGCTCAGAGCCTCTTTCCCCCTTGCAAAGCAGGGCTGCTGCGTTTTAAAATTGTTGAGGTTTTACAAATTGGGAGTGTTGTTGCAAATTGCAAATTATAAATATTTTTCAGAGAGAGTACAACTCTAGCAAAGCTTTCTTTGCTTTTAGCAAGGGATACAAAGACATGCGTGACCTAGCCCTTCCCTCCCTCTCCAGTCTCTGTGGGCTCAAG